TTTTCAAAAAGTCCATTTTTTTATTAGTCGCTGATCTATTGGTACTTTCATGTTCTGATTTTGATACTTAGAGCCAGTTTAGTTACACTGGAATTGGTTAAATCGTCTGATTCTTTTGAAATTGATGATATTCTGACAGAAGTGGCTGAATTGCTTGAGTATGTTGATTTATAGATAAATTTAATTTAAATTGTATTTTATTAATGAAGTAAAGAAAAAATTATATCAAAAGTAGTTAAAAATGATTTGTACAATAACTTCAAGCGATTTAGTCAGAATATAACTTCAATAAAGCTAAACTCAAATAGATCAAAGCAGTTTAAAACAAATAAAAAATGATAAATCAATATTTTCATATTTTCCCCTTTTTCTTAAAAAAATAATAAATTGAACTAAATTTAGAAGTTTTATTTTTTAGCACTCAATGTGATTATCGTTTTCTTTTGCTAATTTTTTATTTTCGAGTGACATTATAAGATGAAGTAATACGGTTTCTAATGGTTTAACGAAGGGAGTAGAATAAAAAAAACAGCATTAGATTTTTATTAATCATAGGGTCGCTGAATTTAAATTACTCATTGTCTTCACTTTAGAGCAACTCAAAAAAGAACTAAACAGACCAACCCGATGTTTTATTTTATTAGAATTATTTATATTTTCATTTGCTAATTTATATATATATATATATATATATATATATATCAAATCATTGCACTTCAAATCATAAAATACTTTAAGAAAGATTTCTAAACTAAATTTAAGTTGCTTCCTTTCTCGTCTTATAGATATACGAATCTTTAAAGTGGCATCTGAAGTGTAGAGTGGTCTAGGCGATGTCATTCTCCGCCTTTTAGAATATTATTTTTTATATCAAAGTTTAATGACTCAATTAATAAAGCGGTTACCCGCGGTTACCCGAAATTTTACCCGTTACCCGTTGGGACGGTTATGATTTGGGTAAAAATTACCCGTTGGGTAATGGGGCGGTTACAAGCCGGGGGAATTACCCAACGAGACGATTGCGGTTATATGTAAAACCGTTCCCGATCCGCCATGTTGCCATCCCTAGTGATCAGCGGTCATATTGAACTTAAGTAAATCATGTACGAGAATCGTTCTAAATAACTAAATCATGGATTTTATCTGATTTTATGTATGAAAATTGATCTAAATAGGAGTACACATATCTTGGACTAGCTTCAAAGATAGGACTATTATGTTTTTTTTTTCAGAAAGAGGAATCATTACTGCCGTTAATGATAATAAATATAGTCATGCTCAATGCTTAGTACTGCCACTACATACATGACGGTAGTTAATATTGTCATGTTACTCCAATTTGGAAAGAAAACTATAAGAGTCATATTTTGAAATTCCAAAACCTGTTTACTCCTATTTCAAAAAAATTTCCTTTTATATATCTAAATTCAAGGTTGTTTGTTATAACTCCTTTAACCATGAAAAAACTTCATGCACTAGTAGTTTTGTTTCTCAATAGTTTTCTTGTAACTTTAATTGCTTGTAATTAACATTATTTTGTGTTTGATTTTTCTTTTGAGAATTGGTTGATTTTAGAGATTATACAAAAAATATATAAATTTGTTAGTGTCTGGAGGAAAGTGATTTTTAAAAGAAAATTACAAGATAGAGAAAAATTGTCTAATAAAAAAGTGAAAAATATTCTAAAACGCTTCGTCACATGTTTACTCAGTATTAGCTTTTTTTGGAAGAATTTGGCTTAAATTGAAATCTCAACATTTAGATGATGGGTAATCCGACAAATTGAATCCTAACAACCGCTGTCCCGCGAACCAGACTCAGAGTTAATCACCTCATCAGAAGCAATATAACTCGCTGATCCATTAATGGGCACACATGAGCCAAAAACGGTTACCCCAATTCCGATGTCACCCACATCCAAATCCAATGTCTTACGACCAAGAAAAACAACAGCTAAACCAAATAAAAAACATACTGGTTAGAAACCGGCGGCGGCGGAATGGCCTAGGCGTTATCGGTGGGTAACCCTAGAGAGAGAAAGACAGATACGTATTTAAAATGCCTATGTTCTTGGGTCTGGAGAGAGGAATCAGATCGTATGCATTGTCATATCAATGCCTCAGCATTAGCTTTAAAACGCTTGATTTAACCAGAAGTATTTGTTTAAAAACCAAATCAACTTTTTCTAACTAAAAATCGAAAAACACATTATTTTATTTAACGGAAAACACCTTATTAAGGATGTTTCACAAAGTCAACGGAAGTCAAACAAGAACAAGGAAATACCTGCCCTGGCCCGAAACATTTGGGGTGGGTCCAGCCCGCCCTGTCTTGCAAATGAGGTGGGTCCGCCTCGCCCCACCCATACAATGGGGGCGGATCCGGGTATTAGTATTGACTAGTGCCGCCTCGACTCGTCCCGCTCAATATATAAGTACAAATACTTTATTTAAATCATACTACAAATATATTTCTACATACATATGTGCGTATATAATAATCATAAACTCTTTGGTCTTATAATATACTAATATTTATATTTGAATGAGATGAATGTCGAATTATAATTGTATTATATAGCATTTTAATTTATATATTCTATTATTAATATAAATAGATTGACTATTCAAGTCTATGTACTTTTTCATAATTTTGAAATTTTTAGCACATTTTGACTTTGATTTAATAGATTATCTTTTTAAAATTTATTTAAAGATAAATTTTATGTAGATTCAAGTGGTAACGACTTCACACAAATTGAAATGCATACTAGGTAATTAGCTTACGACGGGGCGGGGCGGGACGGGGCGGGGGGACCTGCCCCGCATAGAGTGGGGCGTGGGTCAACAAGTTTGGACCGTGTGGATCACGGGACGGGGCGGGTACACCCAGTGAAGTCACGAGGCAGGTCCAGGTCTTGTAGTACCCGCCCCGCCCCGACCTATCGCCATGCCTAGCGTTTGGTGATGTGGTTGTAGCTAGTGTCGTACTTGGATCCCTGAAATGTTTAAGTCCATACTTAGTAAGTGAGACCCCGAGCTCCATGAGGTCAAAGCTCGGGTACAGTGGACCTTGTACCGTAGAACTCATCTCTGGTCTTCGGTTGATCCAATAGCGGCTATTTCCTTGTTCTTGTTTGACTTCCTTTGACATTGTGCACATGTCTAAGGTCAGATCTGGTACCGACCTCGACGTGCTCGAAGTCGGCCTCACATTTTGGCTCATGTGGGTAATATGCGAGCTCGACGTTGGTGCCGACCTCAAAGGGTCAAGGTCGGCCTCAGCTGTGAGTCCTTACTTCGTCAATTTGCAGTCTTGTGTTGTAACCCGACCTCGGGTGTCGAGGTCGGCCTCAGCGGGGACTTCGTACTTAGCGTTTGATATGAATTTACAGTGCAAAGAATGAAAAGAATTAATATATATTTTTACATTGCAACACATATGTTAACACTTTTTTGAAGGAAAGTTTTGAAATATTCCCTCCCTCCCATTTAAAGGTTCTCACTTTCTTTTTGGACCTCTCATTTAAAGGTTCTCACTTCCATTTTAGAAAACAATTAATACTCTAATATGACAATTTATTCATCAAGTATTAAAAATCATACATCTATAACATCACAGTTATCGCCAATGACCCCATTCTATTCTATAACCTCAAAATTATTTCTTAAAAGGTACTTAGATTACTATATTGAATTATTGTTTAAATAACCGTGTCATTTTGCCATGAGAACTTTTGAATGAGACAGAGGTAGTAATACTTTATACTAACAATATTAAATTGTGATATCCAAACAATAGAAGAGATAATACCATAAAATATAAGCCCATATAAATATAATAGAAATTGCTCTAAATGGGAGCAAAAACGTTTTGAAATTCTAAAATAAGAGTATCATATTTTTTATTACCCGAACAAGAGTAATCTGCCAAGTTTGAAAAAAAATGTCATGTTTTAAAGCCTAGTAATGTCAAACTTGGCAGAAATTTACTCTTATTCAAGGAATAAAAAATATGATACTCCTATTTTGGAATTTCAAAACTTTTTTACTCCTATTTGGGGAATTCTCTCTAAATATAATAAATACTCAATGAATTTGGAAGTTAAGATTGTATTTTTTTTGCATTGAATAATCAATTACATGCAAAAAGTCCGTTTTGATTATTTTCATGGTAATAGAGGAAAATTAGGGACAAGGAATGCACATCCATTTATTGTTGGCTTACCGTTACCAGCTCCGTGATCAGAGATGGCAATTGTGACCGAACCGATGGATACCCGCACCGAACTGCTCCGGTCAAAACGGGGAAAACCGCATTGACCGGGTAACAAATATGGGTCGGGGAATACCCGTTTTGTTTTTACGGGTAATGGTGCGGTTACGGTTTTATACATGTCGCCCCATTACCCGCCCCGTTTTATAATTCCGATTTTCAAAAGTGCTCGAAAAAATTAAAGAAAAATACTGAAAGGTGCGCCTCGTCAAGATGACCTCCAAACCACCTCCCCCATTAGATTTTTCATTGCATCACATATGTTAACACTTTTTTGAAGGAAAGTTTTGAAATATTCCCTCCCTCCCATTTAAAGGTTCCCACTTCCATTTTAGAAAACAATTAATACTCTAATATGACAATTTATTCATCAAGTATTAAAAATCATACATCTATAACATCACAGTTATCGTCAATGACCTCATTCTATTCTATAATCTCAAAATTATTTCTTAAAAGGTACTTAGATTACTATATTGAATTATTGTTTAAATAACCGTGTCGTTTTGTCATGAGAACCTTTGAATGAGACGGGGTTAGTAATACTTTATACTAACAATATTAAATTGTGATATACAATCAATAGAAAAGATAATTGGAAACAAGTACATTTTTAAGAAAGTTTATTTTTTAATTTTGAATTTGTAATTTATTTTTGGGAAAATGGTCGGGCTCTCGAACTTAGGCAACCCTTATATATCACGCTCTGTCCGGCCGACTCTAGTTTCCCTAGGAGACCAGTTCGACGAGAGCAGCAAATTTAAGTTTAAATAAGAACCTCCAAAGTCTTTGGATGGCGCCCAAAAACAAGGTTGTGTCCGCTTCACTATAACCGGTTGCGTTTTCAGCACGTGATTGAGTATTTGAGTTGGGTTGAGGGTTGCGTCCGCTTCGATGTACAGAGTTAGCGGCAGACTTACACTACTTCCGCAGAGCTCCATGATCATAAACCTAGCAGACGACGACGACGACGACGGCGCTTCAGGACGAAATCCCACCACTGACTACGCCAATGGCACAACAAAGAAGAGAGCCATTTCGGTCGAAGACTACTACTCCAGGACCACGAATCGTCAGCGCAAGTTCACGGGAACATCGAAAAGTGTGCCCGTGATCAACCTCACCGGAAGAAACCTAGGTGTTTCAGGAGAATCCATCATCGACCTCACCCGAGATGACGACTTTCATATTCTCAATGCAAAATCCAAAGCGTCCTCGTCAAGGTTAAAGCCCCAAAAGAATTCGAATTCAAAACCGTTGTATATAGAAATTGATGATGATGGTGATGACGATGATGTCGCCGCCATGACATTCATATGCCAAATATGCTTTGACGCGAAGCAATTGAACAAAAATTTCAGAATCACGGGATGCAATCACTCCTACTGTTCCGATTGCATATCAAAATATGTGGCTTCAAAGCTCCAAGACAACATCTGGCTAATCAATTGTCCCAATCCAGGGTGCAAGGGGATTTTGGAGCCTCCCCATTGTGCTTCAATTTTGCCACGAAAAGTGTTTGATCGTTGGGGGGACGCCTTATGCGAGGCGTTGCTTTCGGCTTCTGAGAAGTTCTATTGCCCCTTTAAGGATTGTTCTGCTCTTTTGCTTGACGATAATCATAATGTTGTTCATTCCAAGTGCCCCGAGTGCAGGAGATTGTTTTGTGCTAGGTGTAAGGTTCCATGGCATTCAAACATTGCTTGCTCTGAGTTTCAGAAGTTGCATAAGGATGAGAGGGAGAGGGAGGATATACAGCTTATGAATTTAGCTAAAGGCAAACAATGGAAGAGGTGTCCTAATTGCAGAGCCTATGTTGAGAGATCTGTAGGATGCGCTTTCATGATTTGCAGGTTAAAAGAACACTCTAAATATGCATTTTCCTTCATAAAGACTGTTTCTTTTTTGTCATGTTTTGCTTTATTAATTGATCATAATAATGTGTTTAACCTAGGATTGTACTGCAGTGGTGAATGATGCTATTCACTTCTAGATGGAGAATGCGTATTAATGGGTTTTGGTGTATCCCTAAGTATAGTTAATGCACGTGTTTATTGAGTTTCAGTATGCATTTTAATTTTTAATCCCTTAATCTTTAAGCTTTGATGAATTTGTCATCTTAATCAAGTGATGACATTTTTTCCATCATTTGCAATGGAGCCAAAGATTCATTATTTTTTGGCTCGAGATTATGATGGAATAAAGCAAAATGGCTCACTAAACTGTCTGCGCTTCTTTGTTATGAAGCAGCAGTCAGTCCATGCAATTTTGGACGGGATTTTCACTATGGGTCATCCGGAAACAGTCTCTCTGTGCTTTAGTACAGGGGTAAGATTACGTACATCCGACCCCCCTTACCCCACAGTAGGTGGGAGACTTTGCGGCACTGGGGTAAATGAAAATGAAATCAAGTGATGACATTGCAATATGAGGACATGAGTTGGACACTTGGACCTAGACATTAGGGGAGAAATAAAGTGAACCTTATTTCTTATACTCCGTATTTGATAAGAAATACGTAGTATATAGAAAAAACATGTGTTTGATAAAGCACTTAAATGATTGTTATATACCCAAAAAAAATCCAACTATACATGTATTCATACAAGTTCACTCTCATGGAGACTGAATATAGGATATTTACATGGCAAGTTAGTTAATAGAAAGGTGAATTCTATAACAAGCACAACTGCACAACCACACAAGCTGTAGTAGCTGAATGCATAAAGGATATTTAAGTTCATACTCCGTATTTAAAATCATCTATGGAGAATAATACTTTTTAGTTAAAAATGTCGACTTTAGGTCTTGGAAATGAAATTTCTGTACAATTTGCACTTTTTAACACAAAAAGGTGACATAGTGAAAAATGTGGTGTGTTGCTCATCTCTTTATCTCCCTGTGATTTACTAATTGCAGGTGTAAATGCACATTCTGTTACGTATGTGGAGCTCGCACGAAAGATCACTTCTGCCGTAACTGTGGCACTTAGAATCTGGTTTCTCTGTATAAACTGATGCTATCATCATCTAAGTCGTTTTGTTAAAGATAGCCTGACAGAATGAAAGCATTCATGCACGATTGGAGTTCATATCTTAGAAGCTAGCAGAGTAACCCTACTCCAAGACTGTTAAAGAGTAGTCTTCTTAGAGATAATTTACTTTGTGTATAGTGTTTAGAAGAAAAATCATAATTTATAGTATATTTTTCAGTAGCATAAATTCTATATTGTCTATGCTATCTTTCACAATTGTTTGCCTAGGGCCTAAGAAACAGCCTCAATCTTTTGAGACAGTGGTAACCGGTAAGGTCTTTTGTTTAAACATTCTCTCAATTTGTATATATTATTCCATTGTTTGTGTCAACCACCAAAGGCTAGGTATGCACTGTTTTAGTATAGGGAGTGAAGTTGTGGGAGTGGTTTAATTTCAGTTTCAAATTAGACTTAAGTGACTATACCAACCAAACCATACTCCAACATATCAAAATTAAGCTTTATTAAAATACACATACATAAACTAGACTTAAATACACTCACCCGACTTAAATAAACTAGACTTGATTTAAGTAAGTCATACCAAAAAAGTAATATCCAATGAAAACATCTTAAATTTAAGGCTACATTATATTCTACATTTTGTGAGTCATGATTATTCGTGACCAGTCAATTGAATTTAAATCAATTAAATCATAGCATTGAAGTATGAAAATTAATACACATTAAAAAATGGGCTAAGCACCCTACTTGACTTTCTACTTTTAGCGATCATAAGTTCCTACATTCTAACTTTATACTCTGTATTACTATGCATTTAAAAATTTATAAAATTTCTTAATTGTTTGTTCGACACTTAAAAGGTTTTTTAAGAAATTAAGATTTTTTTGAGAAGTTACATCGAGTAGTTTATGAAAGAAAGTATGTAGCTTTTAGCATTGATTAGATACAACGGGTTGTTAAACCAAATAGAACTAAATCAAACGATCAACTTTTGTCAAACAATTATAACATTTTCCTTTTAAAATCTTTTTCGGTTAATAAAAACTAATAGACACTCAAAAACTACGTACATAAGAGGGGTGTTTAGTTGCTAGTAGACCAATCAATTTTTGACCGTTTTGACCATATTTTGGCTTTTAGACTACATCCATAAGCTAATAAGTCTGTTTGGTAGAAAGGCCTTTTCACTAGACTTTTTATGCCAAACAACTAAAATAGAAAAAAGTCAAGCAATATATTACCTTCATCCCAGTAACATTTGTATATGAGGAGGGGTACAATTATTAATAAAAGTGATTTATGTGGTTGATATCAAATTGATAAAGTAAGAATAAAATAAGAATGATTTAGAATCACATTTAGTGATACGAATAAATAGGAAAGAAAAAAAAAGAATAAATAGGAAAGATGGGACGTAGGTTTTAAGGTTGGGCTTTCCATTTATTTTACAATATTTCCAGTGTACCCATTTCTTTCTCTCCCTTAAAAATATCTCTTTGCCTCCCTTCTCTTTCTTACACTCGCAGAGATTAAAATAATTCTTCAGTAAAATGCCTGCCCTTCTTTTTAGACTTGGTAAGTTTTTTCGCTTCTACGTACTCCCTAAGTCCCTACTGTTTAGCACTTATCAATCCCTTAAAAACATTGTCAACTTTCTTTTTTTGGATGTCACATTTTATTGTCATTTTTTCATTTAAGTAAAGAATTTGTGCTTCCAGTTAATTTTCTCTCCTCTGCACAAACCTCAACCACACAGTTTTTACTTTATTAATAATCACGGTGCCGGTAAAACTTGGTAAGTTTTAAGGAAGGAGGGAGTAATTAATTTCATAACTACGGTGTATATTCAATATTTTCTAAACACAGATAGTGACATGTAGTTATTCTTAGAAAATCTATTAACAAGGCAGGTTAAGGGTCTGTTTGCAAGAGCTTAAAAAAGCGTTTCTCCGCTTTTGGTTTAAAAAATTTAAAATTAGTGTTTTCAAGTAATAACTTCTTTTTTAAAAAAAGTGTTTCTCTGCAAAAAAAAAGTAAAAATTAGTGTTTTCAAATGACAACTTTTACTTTTACTTTTTCTTTTACACAAAAAGCTCATATTTTATCAAACCCTACAAACTTTTACTTTTCAATTTTTTCCCCTAAACATTATCAACTTTTACTACTAATCATTTTTTTCCAAAATCACTTCAAAAAGTGATTTTTTTAAAGCAAAAGCATTTGCAAACAATAACTACTAATCTACTATCAATAGTCTTAGATATATTTTGTTTTATTGAAAAACAAATATATGTGGTGTTGTTTTTTTAAAACGTACTATATTTAAACAATATAATGGGCTATGTAGAATAGTATAAGTATTACGATGACTATAATTATATGTAAGAAGTATAATATGCTATGCAAACAAATAAGGAAATTTATGTGTTTATTTAAAAATTAACAGATACCCTAAACGGTCATTTAACCAAACATCATTTTACAAACCGTTAATAGTATTTGATAATCAAAGCAGATAATTAAATCAACTGTCATCTATCATTGTAACACCCCATTTTTTTTTGTAAACTAGTTAATTAAGTTATTTTTATTTCAGTCAGTTATATAAGTTCTTTTAGGAATAATGTGTCTATTCTTTTATCATATTTTGTTTGTGACAGGTAACGTTGACCGGTAAGCTCTAACAAATTTTAATAAATAAGTAAATTATACTACTTATTTATATTTTATCAGTATGTTATTGAAAGAGGGGATATAATAATTCAGTTGGGCCAGAAGCATATTTTAGAAGACTTAAAACTAGAAAAGGAGTATGGTGTAAATAGACACATGATATCTCAACCATAAGTTCTATCTGCGTTTTCCCGTTCCCAGCCGTGGTAGCCGCACTCAAAGCTCCTCTCCTCTTCCATATCAAGCTACTTATTCGGTTTTTCTTGGATTTCGATCATCTCAAATCACAGAGAGTTTGTTTTCCTTTATAGCAATCTGATTTCAAGTATTAATGTTCATAGATTGCCTCTAGAATTCTTTATTTCGCTCCTTTAATTCGTATTACTGGAATTGAGTTTGATAGTTATGATTTTCTTCAAGTGCGGTTAGATTGCTTTTGGGAGGCTGGGTTTCGTCCATTTTAAATCATGAGCAGCTTCTTTACGTTTGAAGTTTTATATTGGACCATAGCTTCTTCTATGCTCATGCGTGTTGCTCCCAGTTTTTTTTCCTTGTTAACTTTGTTATTGGAGCTGGGGTTTTCCTTACATTCTACGGTCCCGAAACCATAAAGTTTAATCAAATTCTATTTGTCATCAAGGATAACTATCTCAATGCCTCAAAGTGTCACCTGTAAACTTTACTTAAAATCAATAAGCCTTCAATAAATCTGAGTTTTGAATTACACTTTCGTAAATCAAAAGCTAGAGAAGACTGTATTTTTAAATTTAATTTTAAAAGGGGTTGCTGCATAAAGGTTTTCCAAATTTTAAAATTTATGTTTCTTTTAGTTATCCGTAGAAGCTAGATAAAAGCTAACAAAATGTAAGTCTTGAGTTTTAGTATATCTTTAGACATTTAAGTTTGATTTTAAGAAAACTGAGCCTTCCAAGTCTCTGTAGTGATGTTATTTTAGTGTTAGGCTCTGGTCGTGTTCAGTAATTAGGTCTCATTTAGTGACCTTTCAGTAGTCAAAATTTCCATCTGTTCTAATAGCATCTCTCCATAGAACTAATCAGTTGGTTGCTCAATATACGAAGTACATTAGAACATATCAAATTCTGATTATATTATTATATTTAATTAAAGATTTAAGAGAAGAGCTTACCAGAAGACGTTATCAAGCAGTCACATTTAATTAAGTAAATTGGAGTTCAGTTTTTTACAGGTAAGTTCACTACCACCTGTACATGTTTGTTCAACCAAATGAAAGAACGAAGTCTGGTTGATATTTAGTAGATGATTTTAGACTATTTGCTATTATGTGAGCTTGGTGAATTATTCAATGAGTTATTTTAATTGTTGTATTAATTTACGTTTATTATCTGACATAGTCAAGATTATGTGAGTATGTACTTTATTTCAAGATGTTAATGATGTTTTTATCCAAATGTCACCTTAAAAAGAACTAATATTTAAAGTGAAAGATTAAGTGATATGTACTCGGGAACAAGTTCTCACAGAGTTATCAGCTATCAGTCTGAGAGAGTCCGATATGTTTAGTGGGTCGCTCCCTTGATCAGTTGTCGGATTGGCGCCTTTGAGTGCATATCACGGGCACACATATTTAAAATTAACCACAAAGAGTTTTACAAAAAGTTTATGAGATCTCTTTGAGAAAGTTTTAGAGAAATGTGTTGAGAAATATTTTGATATCTCTCATTAAGAAATTATTTCAAAAAGTATTTCTTTTGAGATCTCTTTCGAAAGCTACTTGAGAAGTTATTTGTGAATTATTTGTGAAGTGCATGCTTATAGCCTAAACTTATCTATTCATAAATTGGCATAGACTTCTAAATATTTTTGTGGATCCATTGTGACTTACATACTAAGCGTAAAGCTTATCAGTTTCTTTCTTCGCATGTACATATACTAAAGGTAAGACCAAGGCCTAGGAAGATGATGAGGGAGTGGAACACGTGCTAAGATGAGTTAACGGGAACGACCTTGGTGGCTTCTAGCTAGTTATAATTTTAATTCAGTATTTCAGTTGTTAGAATAAAAAGATTATTATTACTTTATTTTATTTAAGGAATTGAAGTGTGAATAAATTCCCGGATCGAGGTGGTTATCCCATTTGCTGATGATAACTAGATTTTATTGAGTTTTTATTTGGAGTTATATTTTAGTTATATTTGAGATTTTATCAGGGTTATTTCTTAAGCAAACGACCGTTATATTGCAATTTTTTTAAGTAGTAAGTTTATGTAGCATTTCCTTTATTCCTCAGAGGACCGTTACAAATTTGGTATCAGAGCCCAGGTTGTCCCGTAACTTAATTTGTCACCGTACATGTGCTCATCATCATCCAAGTAAGTATTTAAAGTTCGTTTTAAATTTCTGTGCATGAGCAAGAAGAGTTTATTAGATAGAAACATAAGTGAGAATGTTTTGCCTTTTTGTATTGTGTATGGCACATAAATAAAAGTTTATATTTAGGTGCCTTAAGAAAATGAGGAGAATCCGTGGTCGTCCAGTTGGTAACTGCAATGCGCGAGGATACAATCACGAGCAGGATTTGACAAGTTTAGTAGCGCAACTTCAGAGGCAGTTGCAGGAGCAGCAACAGACCATCGGCCGTTTGACCGCGAATAATCAAAGGGGTGGTGGTGAAGGGGGAAATGCTGGAAATAATCAAGCTAGGGGTAACAGAGCA